GAGAAGATAAAGATCTGCACACAAAGATCAAAATAATGAGTTAGTTATCAACAAAAATTGACAATGTAGAATAAGTCACATGATGCTATTTATTTATATACTAAATGAATAATAAAAATTAAGTTTAGATGTAATAGTTACAGATTATTTGCAAGACTCTTAAATGGTCTTTCTGTTTCCTGACTTTTTTGGTTGGTTTGTTTTCATAGGGCATGTGTGCTCACTGGAGAGAGACAGAAACAGAAAGAAAGAAAGTGAGAAATCACCCCCTGGGTGGGCAGCCATGCCATAACTCCTTCTCTTCCATATTCCTCCTGGGATTTTGGACATGTATAAACACCCAACATAATTTTCAGGCTACCAAGTCTAGGACTTGAACTGTGGTAGGACATGAGAATCCAGTACCTTTACCCTCATGCCATCTGCTAGCCCCTGGTTGTTGACTTTTTTTTAAGTTTATTTATTTCCTTCGTCAATGTGAGAGTGAGTGAGAGAAAAAAAGGCGATACTCATGATAGGATCTTTATAACATGTACCACCCTTCAACCAGTTCCAGACCATGAGCAAGCACTCATGAGGTATACTCAAGGCGGTCTCCAGACTTGAACTGAGAACCTTCCCATGTGGGATTGCCTCTCAGGGCATCATGCTCTACCATTATGCCACCATCTAGCTCTTTTTTTCTGATCTTTTTTGTAGTGACTCATACTTCATTAAAAAAAAATGCAAAGTGGGGACTTAGAATAGCAGATACATTCATAGAGCTGATCTTATATTGGAACACAAGGAAACAAAAGTATAAATAATTTTTAAAATGACAATTAAAGCATAGTGAGAAAAAAATGTAATTTTAGAGTAGAGGGCAGGTTATTTTAGAGAGAGTGGTCAGGTCAGGGAAGGCCTTACCAAAAAAGTGATTTTTCAGCAGAGACCAGATAGAAGAGAAAAAGCCTTAACATGATCTGAGAGAAAATAATTCCAAGAAACAAAATCTCAAGGATAAATATTTAGCCAAGATAACAAGTAAAACTGAGCTGCTCACCAACAGGAAGAAAGATAGTGTGGATGGTCCTAAATGTAGGACTGGAGATGAGGGTAGAGAGTGAGCAGGGGTTGCCGTGAAGGACCTTACCAATCAAAGAAAGGGGTTTGGATCTTATTGAAAATGTACTAGTCAGTCATTGAAGGACTTTTGGCAGAGAAGTGTCATTAAATCATTTGCTTTTGGAATATTAATTCCAGTTGGTCCATTTTATGTGGAGGCTAAAAGATGGAGGGTAATTCTCTAAATTAAAATATGTTAAAGCATAAGGATTACCAAGGTGACAGAGAATGGGTAGGAAACAGGTCTGTTCATTGGTGAAGTAAATGATGGAATCATAGATTTTCTTATGCTGTTGTTGTTGTTGAAATATGTCAACTTTGTTAAAGCTAGGACACTTTGGGTTACAACCACATTGTACTGGATCACCATTCTGTTCCATCCTGTTGTCATTCCTGCACCTCAAGCACAGTTCACCACATTAATCAAAAACAACAACAACAACAACAAAAAACAGTGTTTTCTCATGCATGCATTGTTCACTAGAAAAAGTATAAGTTGTTTAAAATGGCTTTGATGTTACTCCATTAACTAACTCTAGTTAACCTGTTTCTCTTTATCCTGATAGTCTTTTTCATGAGTCTTTAAAACTAGTTAAATCAAATAAGTTGCAGATGTTTATATGTAGCCCATGACTTTTTTTTAATGTAATGAATTCCTGTTGATAGCTCTATATTCAAAATTTTCATTTTTCCAACTCTGCTTAAGAATGGTCTAAGTTCATTTTGTGTGTTCTAATAATATGCAGTGATTGAATATTAAATAATAATAATAATACAATATATATTTTGGAAAAAATGTCCTCTACTCACAAGCATTAAGTAACTTTCTCTTTCTCTCAGTTCTGAGTCTATGGGGCCCTGCTTACTCTTTTTACAATCATTCTTTCTGTGCTAAGTGGTTTTTTTTTTTGAAAGGTTTTTGCTGTAGGATGTGTGCACTTGTCGGAAAGACAGAGAGAGACCGAGAGATAGAAAGTGAGAAATCACCCCCCGGGGGGCATGGCCACGCATCAATCCCTTCTCCTCCATTCTCCTCTCGGGATCTTGGGCACGCATGCACATGCACCTGGCATGAGTTTAAGCCACAAGGTCCGAGACTTGAACCACAGACGGCTACATAGGAGTACAGTGACATAGCCATTACGCTAACTGCTGGTTTCTGTACTAAGGGTCTTGAAGACAGAGACCTACCTCCTTTACTACTTTACTACTGCTACTTCTTTTTTCAGAGATTTTTGCTATAGGGCGCACGTAGTCACCAGAGAGACAGAGAGACAGAAAGTGAGAAATCACCCCCAGGGAGGATGGCCATGCCACAATCCCTTCTCCTCTATTCTCCTCTCAGGATTTTGGGCATGCACCCAGCATGAGTTTTAAGGCAGCAGATCCAGGACTTGAACCATGGTCTAACTATGTGGAACTTCAGAATATAACCATTACACCATCTGCTGGGACCAATATCGCTTCTTCTGAAAGGCTTAGCTTTGCATCTCAGATGTACTTATTTAGTTTTAAAAAAATGTGTTAAATGACTAGTCAAGAAAATTATTATAGAGGAAAGTGAAATGGTTATGAAGTTGAAAGATGGGTCAGGACTCAAGTATGTGCAAAAAAAAAAAAAAGGAGGCATAATTATTGGGAAAAGGAACAAAAATCAGATTTTTGAAAGTGAAGTATGACTGTAGAATGGCCAAGGAGAACATTGCTAGAAAAGTATCTCTGGATCAGAATGTATGGGATATTAAATACTAAATTGAGGAGTATTGGATTTTTATTCTCTTATATTTTCTACCTTCTTGTACTTCAAAATAGACTGTCAGAAAATGTTATATTGAAACCAAATGAAAGCTGAAGCCGAACACCTTCAAGAAGTTAAATAGATAGTTGTCATTCAAGATGGTATCAGAGAGCATAGATTCCAAAATCTTGTGTGCAAGAAAACTCTATAAGAGTCACAATAATCTGAAGATAGTGAACATGACTTTGTTAGAGATGAAAACTGTGAATGCCCTCTGCTATGCAAAGAGCAGATTGAATCTTACTTGAAAACGAGAGTTGGCATATTGGCTTGCATTTGTTGTGGTTATAAAGAGGTGGGTATAGAGAGCTCATATTGATGTATAACTCATCTAAATAAGATGGACAGTAACTCTCTAAATTATAATACTATTTGCAACGAGTAAATACATTATTTAATCTCTACTTCATCAATTTATTCATTACAAAATTATTTATTGAGTATTTTCCTTGTGTCAAGCACTGTTATAACTATTGGGAATATAGTAGTAAAAACAGAGAAAAAATTAGAGACAAAAGTCTTCATGTTCATGGAACTTATATCATAGACAAGTGGATCTGATTTGGTGAAATAATCTCAATCAACAGGAAAATAAGACTCTCAGGAGGTCTTAGTTTGAAACTGAATTAAAGCCATTGCAAGGTGTTCTCAGGAATAAAGTTTAATTTCTATGAAAAGAAGACTAGATTGGAGTTTGGTTTCCAATGTCTAGAATTGTAATACTTTTGGAAAACCACCAGTGTGGCTCTTAGAACAACGGGAAATGCATATCAAGAGGAGGGGAGAATATGGTAGCAAAGTAGACATTTATGGACATTCCCATGCTGGACCTTGGGCAGTCAGATTCTTTCTATATCCCACCTCCTGCTAAAAATGACTCTCCCACTATAATAACTATTCCTCTAGGGATAAGAATGAACTGAGCACAAAGGTTGAAGGACCCTGAAGTGGTAGTACAGGGTAGTGGATCACAGTGGATTTCAGCAGTGCCTTCAATGTGCTTTAATAACTTACTAATTGTTTGATGTCAGCAATTTTCTTTTGTCTTCTAAATTTCAACTATCTTATTTGTACAATGCACCTGTCTCATAGGATTGTATATGTGTGTATATTCACAAAGGTGTGAGATTGTTTATGCATGCAAGAAAGCATGGTGTGAGGTGATTTATTTAAACCCTATATTGTAGTGTTGGGCTTGTCTTAGAGTAAACAATTAAATGCCATGCATATTTAACCATCTCCCATATGTTGGTCACGGTTCAAATTGTGACCCCTACAATTCAAAGAACGGCTTAGCTCATGTGCATGCATGCCTCAAATCATGATAGCATGGAGAAATGGAAGATAAAAGGATTATGGCATGACCATACCCCATTGAGATGTTCTCTCTTTCTCTATCTGGCTAGTGCATGTGCCCTCAGGCAAGAGAAACAAAACAAAACAAAACTATATTAAACTTGTAGCATAGTTCTAACATTCAGTGACACTCAAAATTGGCAGTTATCATCTCATTTTAATACTGCCAAGTGATGCAACCAGAGTGTGAAGGCTTGGTTTTGAAGCAGTGGGAGATATAGAGGACGAGACATGTGTGAAGGAAGGAAAGAGGAGGAAAAATGGGAGATTCTGCAGTAGGCTCAATCTCATTTTCCTTGACTGGGGATGTAAAAATGTATGAACCCTGTGTCATTACACAGAATTTCATTCACAGAAATGCATAAAAGACAGTCTCATGGGAGAGTTGTGACCTGGATATTGATTTGTACATAGTCAATTAAACCAACAATGCTTCCATTGCTTTTTGTCTGTAAAATGAAAATAATATTAAAGTTTTACCCACAAAATTTTACCCTTAGGGTAAAAGTACCTTACCCAGCACTTAATACATGATAAGTGCTCAAAAAATGTTTATTCATCCAAACCCTTGTAGAGTTGGATAAAGTAACTAAGAGGAGCATTTGTTCTTGCTATAGAGCAACTGTGATGGTTCATTTGATGAGATATTTGGACATTGTCCTGGTTGTTCCTTTGAAGTTAGTTTTTGGATGAAATGAACATTTACATTTGTGGATTTTGAGTCAAGCTGATTGCTTACTGCAGTGTGGGTGGATATCACACAGTAGAAAGCCTGAAGAGAACAGACACTGACTTTCTCTGAGCAAGAAGGAGTTCTGCCAGCAGACTGCAGATTTTGGGTTTACCAAGTGAACCTCCATACTGTGTAAGCCAATTCTTTAAAATAAGTCTGTGTGTGTGTGTGTGTGTGTGTGTGTGTGTGTGTGTGTGTATGAGTTTGTGTGTCTGTTCTTGGGGAACCCAGATTAATACGATAACAGAAAGTTGCAATCGGCGGGTGGCCACCTTTCTCAGTGGTACTGATAGGTGTGATGTGTAGACATGGGAGGAAGCAATGTGGCAACAGACTAGAAAAAGAAAAAACAGATGCCAGCCAGTGCTGGGATAGATACCTCACTAGCAGTAGAGATTCTCTGAAGAGATGTTGGTAGAAGACATGTGATTAGGATTCCACTTCAAAAACAACTGTATATTGTTTAAATATGCTGAATGATTTTATGAGTAATAATAAAACGTTTCTTTATTCTACAGTTAAATTTAGCTCTTCTTAATTAACAAAAGCTCATAGTTTAAGATAACTATTTCTATTTCAAATTTATTTTTCCCAAATTGAGTGCCCCTCAATGGCACTTTGAAATTATCATGATAATTTTACCAAAAGACAAAAAAAAAGTCCTTAAGCATTGTTATGAACTAAGTGTTTATATCTTCTGGCAAACTCATGTTGGGACCTTAATCCTCAATGGGATAGCATTTGAAGACAGGATCTTCAGGAGGTAATTGTGGTTCAATGGGGGTCATAAGGGTATTTCTCATGATACCATTAGAGCGCTTATAAAAAGAAACCTGGGAGCCAGCAGATGGCATAGTGATTAAGACACTGGACTCCCACATGGCCAACCCTGTTTCGATTCCCAGAACCGGCAAGCTTAAAGCTCAAGCAAGGCACATGTGACTTCATGTGCAAAATCTTGAGAAAAGAGTGGAGGAGAAGGGACTATGGAGTGGCCATCCCTCCTAGGAGGTGATTTCTCACTTTCTCTCTGTCTCTCTGGAGAGTCAAGTGCCCTATCGCAAAAATCTCTTAAAAAATAAAAGAGAGAGAGACCTGAGAACTAGTGCTCTCTGCTGTGTGAGGATGCAAAGGAGGTTGTCTACGTGTCAGGAAGAGTCCTCACAAGACACTGACTATTCTGACACCCCGATCCCAGACTTTCATCCTCCAAAACTGTGAGAAAATAAATTTCTGTTGATTCAATCACCCAGCCTAGGTTATTTTGTTATGGTAGCCCAAGCCAACTAAAACAAGTGTATTATCTTTAAAAATGACATTTTAAACTAGAGCAATGAAAAATTCCTATACGATCACTTTTTTATCTTTTCATATTATGGTATAGTATTTGTCTATATACATAGACTTTTTATCATAACTCCTGTTCATAAAAATGCCCACATTTGAAATCATTATCCCTGTGCTAACACTGGGTAAATCAAATAATGCAATCCTTACAATTATGCTGACCTCTTTTTAAGCAGAATTTTATGAACATGTGGAATTCAATAGATGTATGCTTATTTACAAATGTAATTTATAGTAACCAGTAAAATTTTATGATCATAGATAATGATATAATGAAAAATAATAATAAAAATACCATATATGTACTGGATGGTATCATATGCCACCGTTTGCGTAAATAGTGTATACTAACTCCATTTACATAAATGGTTTGGATAAATTGTGACTATTACTATGATTACTATATTAATAATGTGTCTGGTGGCAGTTTTAATGGAGTCTGTTTGCAATTGGTGACCCTCAGATTGAGTCTCTTTTATCCTTTTTTCAAAGCAGGTTTAAGTATCTCTCTACCCTTAAAATAAGACCCAACTGACAGGGTAGCTTTCCTCCCTATTTTGCTTAAGGTTTTAGTCATAGGGTGCATGTCCTCACTGGAGAGAGAGAGAGAGAGAGAGAAAGAGAGAGAAGGGCAGAGAGAGAAAAAGTGAGAACTTACCCCCCCTTCAGGCAGAAGGACATGCAATAGCCCTTCTTTTCCATTCCTCTGTGATTTGGGCATGCACACACATACACTCAGCATGATTTTCATGCGACCAGGCCTAGGACTCAAACTGTGGTCAACCATTTGAGAATCCGGTGCTGTAACCACTATGCTACTTGCTGGTCCTGAAAGTAACTTTAAAAACCTTTTTCAAAATATGTATTAGAAGTTTTCCTTCCATGGCAGAGGCATAGAATTGGAAAATGTAGCAATCTTCTTCCCGCAGGATTTAGGTACGTGAGGAATAAGCCCGAGAATAGTTTCTGGGAAGTCATTATGAAATGGTAAATCTGGAAAGTCCTGCCAGGGAGGTAACTGTTACCATGCCCAACCAGGACCACACTGCTGGGTGTATGCTGCAGCTAGATGGGGACTGGGCTCTCATTAAGTGTGGTGAAGGACATGGTTCTTGGTCAGGCTGCTTGTTCTAACTTTGGCTTTGATCTGAGGTCATCGATTCCCTGCCATGCCATGTTTACATAACGAGTGAAATACCTATTAATGATAAACTTGAGAATATGAAACTGGCAGCATTGCACAAAGACCATTTATTCTTTGTAGATATAGCATCTTAGTGTTAAAAGGGTTAAGATTTGGTGTTTGTGAAAGGATCCAGGAAGGAAGAGGTTTGAGACAGATGTTAGTAATCTAATCTAAGGTCTGTGGCAAGGTGTGTGTGTGTGCATGTGTGTGTGTGTGTGTGTGTGTATGACGGAGAAGCCGAAACAGGGTGACAGGGATATCACAATGAAGAGGACCTTTTATTTTGATTTATTCTATTTCTGTTTCTATATAGCAACAGCAAATCTTAACATAGCAAACTGATATTTATTTCCTCTGTTATGCCTTACAAGAATAGTATTAGTCTATATGATACATATATTACTTAGTCCCCAATTGAACCCACGCATTTTGATACTTGTTTACAATCAGTAAGACCCTTGACTATACATAGTCTTGTTTTGTAACTTCATTTTGAAACTTCTCAGTGTTGGGAGGTAGTTGGAAAATAAAACTAGATATTTTGGAGAAGGACTTCTTTTTTTTTTAAGATTTATTTATTTATTTCCATTTGTTATTGTTAGTTTTTTTTTTTTTTAATTTGATGAGCGAGAGAGAGGGGTGGGGGAGGGAGAGAGAAAGGGAAAGTGAGAAAGCAAGCCACCAGGTCCGGGACTTGAACCATGGTTGGCTATGTGGGAATCCAGCGCCCTTATCCACCACACCATCTGCTGGCCCCAAGAGAAAGACTTCTTATATTTTCAGTAAAATATGAAACATTTTCTATTATATCACTTGTTTTCAATATTTTTCTTATTTTCTAGTTTTAAAATAGTTAATAGAGAATAATTTCTGAACACTAAGTATTGCAAAGTATAGAAGTAACCATATGAAAAGAAAAGCTAAAGAAAATATGGTTATTGTAAAGTAAAAAAGGATATATATATATATATATATACATAACACACACACATATATATATATACACACACCTATATATTCTTCATACATACTGAAGAATATATGTACACAATACACCCACTTCCCCCCCACACACACACATACACATGAGTACATAAAACAATTAGAGAACAAAATATTGTACATTTTTTTCTTTGCTATGCAGTAGGAGATTTTACAGAAATAGGCTGGAAAAATTTGATGATTATGCAATACAGACTATAAATGTAAGAAAGACTATGAGATAAATCTAATATGAGGAAGGGTGCTGCAGTTTAAGCATGGTTTCAATAATTTCAAAACAGACCATAGTGAAAATAATAGTTCCTTTCATCTCTATAGTGTTTTAGAGATTTCAAATCCTTCTCACCTATCCTACATTTAACCAACATTATAATGTTGACACATCAGGTACTGCTTTTCATTTCTCAGTTTACAGATGAGGACATAGATTCCCAGGATAGTCTAGGTATCTGTATAAAGGAGAGGATAAATTAAAACACAAACTTCTCGCAAGCCATTGTCATTATTCATGCTACTGCTCTGGGCACTCCAACTGGAAGCAACCAACTTTGTATGACTGGCTTACAATATTTGCTATTTAGGAAGAAGTTAATTTGAAGATTTGTAGCCAAATAATGGAGTTTGCATTATTAGAATAGTTAAGTTGTTCACCAAATTAAATAAGTCCACAACTGTAGAGACATGTTCTTTTCAAGCATCTCCTGATACTAAATTACTCTATGCTGTTTGCCCGCCAGTAAGAAGCTAAAGAAAAGGAACAGAAATTAGAATTATTAGAAAAATAATTAATAATACAGCACTGGTAAAAAAAAAGTTACTATGTAGAGAACATAAATATATATGTACACATAGCATACTAGCTTATGAGAGTTGGTGTTATGTTTTCCCTCTATGCATACTAATCTTCTTGTTCCCAGTTGAATACCTTATTCTTAAAGGTTTCAGAGTAATCACTGCGTTTCTCTCTACTTGAAGGATACAGTTGGCAGCACTCACTGAAACACCTATTCAGAGCACATATAGGTTCTAAAAGCTACTGTCCTGGGAAGTGATTTCAAGCCATGCTTCTCAGTGGGAGGTTTTCTTCTGAGAACTCTGAAAAATCTCTGACATTCATTTGCAGGTCACTTATATCTTGATGATATTATTATTGTTTTTGTTTTAGTAATGGCTTTCTCCATTAGTGTTTTATAAAATCAAGCAAGAATTTCAATTCAGATGCCCATATCTTTCACCTAATCCAACTGAGGCATTTTTAAGATACTCCCAAGATTCTGAAACTGCTTATAGAAAGAGAAATGAATACATAGGCATTTTACTGTCACTTCACCTTTTTTTCAGGGAAAAATGTATTCTTTTTACAGAAAATTTAAGACTGGCCCTATTGCCTCAGAGAGCTGGGTCCCACATAACTGATCACAGTTTGAATCTCAGGCCCAGTGGTTTGAAAAGCACATAGGTATGTGGGTGTACATGTCCTAAATCCTGACATTCAGATGGAGAAATGGAAGAAATAGGATTGCAATGTTACCACACCCAAATGGGAGCAGGTGGTTTTTCCCCTTTCTCTCTTTCTCCATCTCTCTATTTCTCTCTG